TCACCACCATCATCGTCACCACCATCATCATCACCATCATCGTCATCATCACCATCATCACCATCATCATCATCATCACCATCACCATCGTCATCGTCTTCATCATCAAGAAGAGGGTCCCCTCGGTTATTTAAAGAACCAAGAAAGGGTTTTCATATCAGAAGAGATCGCTTTGGTAGTTATCAGGCGTGGGATGAGAAAGGGGCGTGGGGGAAACAATCAGCTGGAGCAGGGGAGGCACACTGTGGCACCAGGGCCACGCGGCTCCCAAGTAAAGCTGATACTGATGAAAATAAAATGATTAGTCAGACAACCGTGATCTCATTTGTTTGTCAAAATACATGTATGGCTGTCAAATGATCTTTAAATTGTTGTAAGGGACAGGGCTGATCATCCCCCTCAAAAGTTTGCCAACCCCTGGACTGGAGGGTAGATAGGTGTTAACTTGGGTTCAACAGTATCTTATAAGAAGATGTGGGATGGGGAAACAAAAGGAAACAAAACAAGGGAAGCAAGGCAAGCCATGGTGGCACAGTGGTTATGTGTAGGGCTGCTAACCACAAGGTCAGCTGTTTGAAACCACCAGCCGCCTCACGGGAGAAAAATGAGGCTTTTTGCTCCCATTAAGAGTTCCAGTCCCTGAAACTCCAAGGGACAGTTCTACTCGGTCCTGTAGGGTCTGCATCAACTCTACAGCAGTGAGTTTTTTGAGAGAGCAAGCCATTGGGATGCTTGATACATTGTTGCATATAGAAACCATGACCTGATCTGTGACACACACCCCCCACCCACACATCCCTAATTGCTCTGCCTCGCTGGTTGTCACCAGGGGAGTGACCCACCTCTCTGGGCCTGTTGGTGACATGATAACATTGAACAAGCCCAGCATTCTGCGAAACATGATACTGCTGCCTACTGGACACAGCTCTTCGAAGAAGATTCTAGAACCTGAGTTGGGTTTTTAGTTAGATGTCTCCTGGGGGTGGGGGAGGGGAGAACCAACTTGGCATCTCTGACCTGGGTTTTCAGAGAGCTCTTGTGTACGACATAAGCCCTGGTGGCATGGTGGGTGGGATTTGCGCTGTCCTGCTAACGGAGAGGTCTGAAGTTCAAAACCACCAGCCATCCCACTGGGGAAAGGTAAGGATTCCTGTTCTTAGAAAGACTGACAGCCTCAGGAGCCCACAGGGGCAGTTCTGCCCTGTCCTATAGGGTTGTTGGAGGTCAGAATGGGCTCCAAGGGAGGGGTTTGGTTTATCCTCCTGGTACTCAGCTGCCTCCCTGGTCCGTCCTGCCCACAGCCTGCAGAATTAGGAACAGTGTGGGGCGAAGGGCACCAGAGAGCTCAGGCCCCTCACGCCGCTGTCCTCTCTCCCTACAGGCCCTGCAGACCAGAAGAGAGGTCCATCCACTTTGACCTGGGCAGTGGGGTGGGGCCACCTCATCCCAGCTCCCCAGCCCCCAGGCTGGAGCGCCGCTGCTTGGCTCCCCGGCTTCATCCTGTGATCTAGCCCTTACTCACCTCCTTCCTGTTTCCCAAAAACCCTTCCCACTTTCCCCAGAACTCGCCCCTCCTCCCAGCCCCTCGGTGTCCTCCACAAGGGTCACTCCGTTTCCTTCTTTTGGACTGGAAATGCCAACCCTCCAGCCGAATTGCCTGGATATTTTTTCAACACTCCTCAACTCTGACCTGCTCCATCCCAGCACAGATCTGAATTTTCCCAGTTCCATCTAGAACATTCTATCCACGCCTTCACCCTCTTATTTCCTCCCTTCTCTCAAATACCTCCCTCTCACCCCTGCCCCACGGATACCATCCTCTCTGCTGCAAACACCCCCTCCCACCACTGTGTGGTCTCCCTGTAGTTTCCTCAAGAGACTCTGATTGGATCCCTCAGTAACCTCCTTGACAAAGCTCTTTGTTAATCCCACCCTCCTCCAACCCTCTGGCTCTAACTCCCTCCCTACTCTCCCATTTCCTTCTCTGGCCGCTCTGCCCCGCTGGCCGCACTGTTCCCAGCTCCCCCTCATCTCCTGCCGGGGGTCGGCCCCCCCTCCATGTCCTCCTGAGTCTCCGAGGAGGGGGCTCAGGGGGGCCCGATGGCCGCCCGCCCCCCGTGCCGCCACCGCCCCCGCGGGCCAGGGGAGGCGCGTCGACGATGGGCAACGGCACGTGGTGGGAGGGCTGCCACGTGGACTCGCGCGTGGACCACCTCTTCCCGCCCTCGCTGTACATCTTCGTTATCGGCATAGGGTTGCCCACCAACTGCTTGGCGCTGTGGGCGGCCTACCGCCAGGTGCGCCAGCGCAACGAGCTGGGCGTCTACCTGATGAACCTGAGCATCGCCGACCTGCTGTACATCTGCACGCTGCCCCTGTGGGTGGACTACTTTCTGCACCACGACAACTGGATCCACGGGCCGGGCTCCTGCAAGGTCTTCGGCTTCGTCTTCTACACCAACATCTACATCAGCATCGCCTTCCTCTGCTGCATCTCCGTGGACCGCTACCTGGCCGTAGCACACCCGCTGCGCTTCGCGCGCCTGCGCCGCGTCAAGACGGCCGTGGCCCTCAGCTCGGTGGTCTGGGCCACGGAGCTGGGGGCCAACTCGGCGCCCCTCTTCCACGACGAGCTCTTCCGCGACCGCTACAACCACACCTTCTGCTTTGAGAAGTTCCCCATGGAGGGCTGGGTGGCCTGGATGAACCTCTACCGCGTCTTTGTGGGCTTCCTCTTCCCCTGGGGGCTCATGCTGCTCTGCTACGGCGGCATCCTGCGCGCCGTGCGGGGCAGCGTGTCCACCGAGCGCCAGGAGAAGGCCAAGATCAAGCGGCTGGCGCTCAGCCTCATTGCCATTGTGCTGGTCTGCTTCGCGCCCTACCACGTGCTGCTCCTGTCCCGGAGCGCCGTCTACCTGGGCCGCCCCTGGGACTGCGGCTTCGAGGAGCGCATCTTCTCCGCCTACCACAGCTCGCTGGCCTTCACCAGCCTCAACTGCGTCGCCGACCCCATCCTCTACTGCCTGGTCAACGAGGGCGCCCGCAGCGACGTGGCCAAGGCCCTGCACAACCTCCTGCGCTTCCTGGCCAGCGACAAGCCCCAGGAGATGGCCAACGCCTCGCTCACGCTGGAGACCCCGCTCACCTCCAAGAGGAACAGCGTGGCCAAGGCCCTGGCAGCCGGTGGCTGGGCGGCGGTGCCGCCTCCGCCCTCCCAGGGGGACCAGCTGCAGCTCAATATGATGCCGCCCCTGGCCCAGTGAGCCCAGCACCCCCGGGTCCCTTTTCCTCCCCGGCGCCCGGCCGAGTGTCGCCACCGTGGGTGTGTATACGGTTGACAGTCACCAGAATCCGAGAGACTAGGAGAAGGAGGAGGGTGACGGTGTCCCTGGCGCGTGTAGATCCTGGCCTTGGGGAAATGGGCTCCATCGTGGCCCCTCAACACAGGGCCCGGCCCTGTGCCCCGGACAGAGTTGTGGGAAGGCAGGGTCCGCAGCGCCCTCTGGGGGTGGTGGGGGCAGACTGGTCACTGGCCTGGTCAGAGCCTAGGGGACCCGGGGAGTCTTAGCTGTCGTCTGTTCCAGCCTGTAGGTTGGGGCTGGCTTCCCGAGTGCGGGGACCAGTACATCGAGTTAAATGTTTGGGCTCTGTTCCGTGGCGATAAAAATAGCAAGAAATTAGGTTTGTCATGACAGCGCAGACGGCTGGGAGCCTCCGGGCCGCTGGCAGGACGTGGTGGCTGTTTATAAGGCGGAGTTTAGCCTGTCAGAAGCCCCCAGTCGGATGGTGGGGAGAGACCTAGGGTCTAGATAAATCACCTCTTTCTCCCAGTCAGGACAGAGAGGGTGGAGAGGAAGCAGGTGGGGGCTGAGGGGGGTGGGGCTCTTCCTAGGGAGGCGTCATTGGATGAGGGCTGAGCACTGAGCACGAGCCTCAGGCTGACCAAGGGCCTCAGGAGGAAGTGGGGGGTATTTATTCATTCATCCAACAGACATTTCTTTGGTCCCCCCGCACTGCCAGGCCCTGTTAGTGGTGCTGGGGACTCCGTGACCAAGATATCCCCCCAGTCCTGTGGGCTTAGTGTCCCCGGGGCTGCTGTCACAGGAATGTCACAAGGGGGTGGCTTTAAGAAACAGAGTTTTATTTTCTCACCGATTAGCGGGCGGGAAGTCTGAATTCAGAGCGCTGGCTCTAGGGGAAGGCCGCTCTCTTGGCTGGCTCTTGTCTTTTTCCAGCTTTTGCTTCTGTGTCATCGGCATGCGGCGATCTGGCGGCTCTCTCCCTCCACCTCTGCTCCATGGCTGGGCTTGTGTAATCTCTTTAACACTCTAGAAGAGGTCGACTTTACTGTTGCTGTTTTTGTTAGGCACCCTCGTGATGGTGCCGGCCCACAGCAACCTCGTGCACAGCAGAACAACACACTGCCCAGTCCTGCGACATCCTCAACGATTGTTCGTAAACTTGAGCTCATTGCTACGGCCATCGCGTCCGATCCATCTCCTTGAGGGCTTTCCTCTGCGATGCCCCTCCACCTTACCGAGCATGGTGTCCTTCTCCAGGGACTGGTCTCTCCTGACAACATGTCCAAAGGACATGCGAGGAAGTATCGCCCTCCTTGTCTCTAAGGAGCACCCTGGCTGCACTTCTTCCGAGACAGATGTGCTGCTTTTCATTTGTCAGTCCCTGGTACTTTTCATATTCCTCTCCAGCACCACCTTTCAAATGCATCACTTCTGCTTTGGTCCAAAAGGGCTCGACTGCAGACATTTTATACTAATCCCGTCTCATTAAGAACCCGGGGGCTTAACCGCTGTACCCCCAAGGTTCTTTTTATGACACACCTTGAAACCCTTCCAGCCTGCACCCATAATTCCATTCCCAATCCATTTCCACATGCCACCCTAAAGGCAACCAATTCCCACATGGGATTAGAAGCACCAGCACAGGACTGTGTATTGACAACACCTACTTTTGAAGGGATCCAGCTTAATCTAGAACATGCCACCCATTGGCCTGAAAAAACTCACATCCTTATCACGTGCAGAACACATTTCACCCCGTCCCACGGTCCCATCTCCACGGTTCAGATATCGACTTAATCACCTATGGGTGACACATTCGGTGTATTCCATCCCCCAGGGCAAATCTTCCTCTTCCCTCTGTGAAGCGGTGCAATCCAGAATGCAGTGCATCTGCTTCCAATGTACAGTGGTGGGACAGGTACAAGGGGGACCTTGCCGACACACGTGGGAGGGTGTGGAGGGGGAGAAGGG